AAAACGAAACTGCATTTTAAAGGTTAAGTGGTTCTTATTCCATGTTTCATGACGGGAAACATGATCTAATCTTACATTCCCCAATGCTTGGATGCTGAGTTCTTTGCAAATTCGCCGCGATATTGCTGGCTGCGGCGGCTGGCGCGGCGACCTACTTACTGCCACGATTGTATAGTCACGCACCCTTACAACTATCATTTACCAAAAATCAGCTATCACTATGAACCACTACTAACCAGATTTACTTGGAGGCCGTCGTCACTTGTGGTGTATGGTCTGCACCCGACACTCTTCTCGTTTTTTGAAAGGGAGGTTAGTCTCCAAAAAAGTCTGTCCTTTCTACCAGCGAAATAGTAAGAAATCTCAACTGATGTGAAATGCTGTGAAATATTTCAGCGTTTCTTTTTTCCCAGTCATCCTAGAAATTACTTCCCGCTGTAGAATTTTCAACGGATGATCGACATGCTTGACTGAAGATGGAAAAGTGAAGAAAAACTAAGGTGATGCCGATACTACAGCCCAATAGCGCCAGAAAAAATCATGAGGTCGATAATAGAAAAAATCTTGAAAGAATAGGAAAATTCTACATTGAAAACATTAAAATAGCTCTCATTGAAAGAATTACCTCTGCAGCCTTCTTTCAGAACATCCTCGCGTAGAACGTTCCCACCATCTTTCGGCAATATCAGCACAAAAACGGAAATACTACTACCACCCTTTGAGAAGAATTCGCCTGCGACCTGAACAACGAGAAAGTCCCTTCTGTGGTTTTTTATGCCTTGTGACTTCATTGCCTTCAACAAAAACGTTCTGAAAAACAACGTCTCAAAAATAGACGCACATCGAGTTCGTCGCGGGCCCGTGCCCCGTAGGGAGTGTAACCGGTGATGTCATTCTCGTTCCTGCAATGGGTCATCATCGTTGTCATCATTCTTTACCGCAGCGTTTCAAAACACATATGAAATGGTACTAAATCACACTGTGGCCATTGTTCAGTACAAAGACACAGTTTACTGATGAAATCGTGAACTATATTGAATAATAAACTATGGAATAACTCAAAATTACTAACATTTTCACCTATCCCAAGATGAGGGGGCATTGAATTGGCACTGCACTCAAAACCTCGTGAAACGTGTCCTTTTTTTTGAAATAAGGACTGATCTTGAGATGGGAGGGAGGGTCCAGTGTGTGTGGGTAATTTTTATTTCTTCCTATGTCACTGGCCGCTCCTAGGCTATGTCCTGGAGGATGCCTCGTACCTTGGCCATAGCCGCCTAGCATGTCAGTTGGGTTAAGAGGGTTGGCGGAAGTACGATTTTCAGTCGTGATTTGATTCAGCATTTTAACCCTCAAAAACTTTGTAATTTTTTGGCGAAGAAATCTTCTTCCAGCATGCCGTGAATCCTTAGAACTCATGTTTCTAAACTATTAGAAGACACAAGACATCAACACTAAAAGCAAACTAGTTATATGAGAAAGAATAATGTATGGAAAACCGGGAGAACACCTTTGACGGCTACTGTATATTTACACCTCTCGATCTGAATCTCTTGGACTTCTGACGCGTGCGGTCGCGGTGCGTACATAAAGACACTTTTGAAGCAAGAGACGGAAAATGGCATGAAGAGCGCAATGATTAGTAGATAGCGATGAACATTTCAGTCGCGATCAGTTAGGGCGAGTTGCCACCCCGCTCCATCCGAGTCGCGACCGCAATGCGCAATCATGAGCTGCACCTCTGTGAAATTGCACTTGAACGCGGAGACACAAAGGCTGGCGGGTGGGGTGGATTCGGTGACCCATTGAATGACATTGGTGAAAGTGGGTTAGATGGCGGTCGGCAAACCACCCACAGTGCGCTAAGTGGTCTAGTCCACCAGTTACCTTCGATAATGCCATCAAAGCCGCACCACCTTTCTAGCCATCGTGACGCGCTGCGTTTGAAATCATGGCTTTGTTTCGGGCTATGTATGGTGGGACATTTTGTTATCGTTATCTGAAGAACAAAATAGTTCTGATAGAATATGTTGTAGAAGCTGTTTATCACGTACGGAGTGGTGATGACCTTGAAGGTACCGATAAGTGTCAGAATGGTGCAGATGACGATCGTGAGAACCGCATGATTCGCCACAAACAGTGCCCAACGACCGCATAGAAACGAACGATGCATCGAATCAGCAACGTCTCATGACCACCTGGAAACAGATAATATAAGAAGTGAAAATTCAAGATTCCCTCAATGTGCCACGCATCTGAACTTCTTCTCAAATTTCAAAAGGATTATGGGTTTCCAGAGAAAAAAAAACAAGTTTCGCTCATATTGACCTTTACAACTTCTCAAACTTTCTAGTCTTTCAGTTTTTGCGCATTGATTCAAAACCCAAGCTAGCAAGTCGTGCACTTCAAAAATGGGCCAATTCAAAATGATGGTGGGACGAAAAACGAATTAATTTTTCTACAAGCGTTTCACGTCTCAAGTTACCGTGTCCGAGACAATCACTACAAAGCAGAAGACAATACAAACCAAATTGGGATCCGATAAAAAATAATAGATTTTAAATCGAGAGCTGGATGCTGAACTCGTGCGCACCCATTCATCACTGTTTCAATATTCAAACATATATGAAGTTTTGAGGTTTGACTATAGTGGATCCGAAAGCGATAGGCAACTCTATGAAGCTCGGTTAAAACGTCCGTGCTTCAGATTGCTTGGAAAAAGACGGGAACCTTGAGTGAGCACAGTTTGTCAAAAGTGGGTATTAGTTTTTTTGGGCATGCGCCATGAATCAAACCAAGGTTCCCATGAAGCCTACTAATTTTTTCGACCTTTTGTTGACTGTGTTTACATGACTCCTCTTCATCGCTTCTAGGAGAAACGATGAGGTCCCGCTATTTGTGAGTGTTCAGAGGCGGAGTTTACGACTGAACCACCCCATAAGAATTGAGGTAGAGGTGGTCAGCGGTGCCTGGATTGAAGAAAATCATGCGAAACGGCGAAGAGCCCGAGAAATGGGACCCCTTACCCATTAACTTCCACATTGATCAGTCTTTCATCGGTGCTGCCCCTTCAACGCTAACGCACTCCCTGTCAAACGGCTAGAGGCTCACAGTCAGACCGCGAGAGGGGGCGTACCGCGCCAATAGTGCGCCAATGGCGCCGCGGGCGATCATGCTAGGTCTTCGGGGGCATATCCTTCGCTGTTGTCGATCCGCGGTCTTGAGGGGGTCTGTCTGTTTTTTCCGCTGAGTGAGTACCCCCTACTTCGACCTTCCCCCATATCGCAAATCCTCCTTTAATGTCGAGTGGGATGCGCCATGCATATGCCTTTACCTAATGTTGCAAGCCAAGATTCATTGCCAATTTGCATTTAAATTAATCACCAAGCTCGCCCGTAACTTAATTACCAAGCTACCCGTAAAATAGCAATTAAAAAATCATAAATAATTTAATGAACAATGAGCAAGGACTCTTAGGAGTAGAAAATAGCCATCAATTCTCAGACAGTCTATGGTATTGATGGGTGACGCTCCACAGGTGGTCAATAAAAACACCAATAGATCACCCATAAACAAAAGTGCTACTGCTCTCGTTTTCTCTTGTCCCATGCCATGTTGCTCTCTGGCCAAGGAAGAATCGGTCTTTTGTTCCTAAGGCATTGGCCTTGAACGGGGGTGTAAGCGTTCTCATTGACGTTGTGTCCAGGTGTTGCCAAGGCCAAGTGGAAAGCAAAAATGTGTGAATTGCAGTTTTTGATGCTGATACGTTCTGCCAATTGCAGCTAGCGGAAACCTGGTCACCATTCGAAATATATGAGAAGTGGAACTTTGATAAAGAAATAAAGGATCCAAAAAAGGAGATATGGACATTACGTGTGACGGATGAAATGTGATTATTTTGCAACGCGCCAGGCATTCGGCTTTCTTCCAAAAAAGATTTACTTATGGTCGTGTCCTGAGTAGAATTTACAAATACGACAATACAATGGAGCGAAAAAACTTCTATAGTGGGTTTTTATTGGTGCTTGTCATGTGTTAAATGACACTCATTTGCGCGTGGAGGCCATGTGGCGGCCGACCTAAGCTGCCACAACTGCCACATATGCATGGTCGCTAATACTCTCTACACCATACCTAATGAGCCTGATCAACATGAACCAGCCGAAAATAAATCCTACTCCGTATCAAACAACCTGATATATTTTTAACGAAGTTATTAAAATGATAAATAGCAAAACTGGCGTCAAATGACTCCAGTGTCAAAAATAAATGCCCTATTTGGGATTCAGGGTATAAGCTAATATTCACTAGGGAGTGGTTTCTCGAAAATGATTTCTCTAGTCCATTCGAGTCTGTGACACTGAAATAGTTCCGGAATGCATTGTCTACTTCTCTGTCCTTGTCCTGGTGAACTCAGGCACCCTAGAAGAAGTGAGCGCTTTTTTGGAAGCGGAACCACTACGGCCGCTTGACTGAAGTGTAACGGTTTTCAGTTACGCGTGCTTCAAAAGAAATGACCTTCAGCAGATTAGGCGCCCACGTGTTCGCTCACAACGTACAAAAACAAATTTGTTCCTGACTGATGGTGGATCCTTTTTGTATATTCAAGGTGTTTACTTCCACTCCAAGCTTTTTTAGGGTTTCTCTTCAGATGTTTTGGAGCCGCGAGTGGTCGGGTAGCTAAATTGACCAATTAGCCATTTACGGGTTTTCAAAGGTGACAAAAATTTCGGAAGGAGGATGCTAGCATGCGCTTGCCACCTACAAACCTTGGCTGCTGACGATGTACTACATATTTGAGCTGGGATAAAATCAGATAGCGCCATTTGCCTCGAATAGGGGGGATTACTTCAACATTGCGTTAATATTTAGGTCAAACCTTAGAAAGCGCTAGGGACTTCGGAGCAGCGGGAGGGGAGAGGCTTTGCCTTCTTAAGAGCACCGATCCCCCCGCCTGCACGGCATTCCTGGAGAACGGAAGGTGGGCCGGAGTTGTGAGGATTGCTGAATGTATTCGGACATGACTATAAATCAACAGAAACAGCATGGTGTTAGGGGTTATGATGTTGATGAGGGGGGTTTGTCTTGTATTTGGCTCTGTCTCAATACGTTAGTGGCCGAGTTTTTCACCGGATTTCTGGTGAACCTCTACATGGTTTACCGTATATGGGCTTCAGATCCATTGATAGAATTACTGCCTCTACTCAAAGAACGGTATGTACCTTTTTTGAATTTTTGTAAATCTGTTCGAGGTGAGGATTGCAAAGTTCGGGCAGGTCCGGGACGCACGATTCTTCGTCAAACCGACAGGCACTGGAACCTAAAAGCTTATACTTCCTGAAAGAATCAAAAATAATGTAAACCTCACTGCAACTTACTGCTAACTCTACAAACATCCACATTTAGGTTCCCTAAAAGCTTGTCTCGTTTAATTTTGAGATTTAGTTATTCCAGTGCAACTCGGTGGTTGCCTGTCAACCCATAGGGCTTCCTTCAGACTGATATTTTCCATTCCAATTCCTCAGTATTGACGCTACTTTATACACCTGTAGGAAGCGTTTCTTCTGCTCTACTTACCCGCATGCAGAATTTGGTTTTGATTTCAATCCTGGTCGAGTTTCAGCATAGAAAATGGTGGTATGTCAAGTCGACGAAAAGGAACACTTCCGGCACCTTCTGCTGTTCACCTTCAACCAAGGATCGAGTGCCACAAAAGCCGGCAGGCAACCACCGAGTTGCACTGGAATAACTAAATCTCAAAATTAAACGAGACAAGCTTTTAGGGAACCTAAATGTGGAATGTTTAGTAGAGGTTATGAGTAAGTTATAGTTACATTATTGATTGATTTCTTCTAGGGAAGTATAAAGTTTAGGTCAGCTGTCGGTTTGGCGAAAATTCGTCGTCCGGACCTCCCACTTTGCATGCCTAAA